GATCGCAACCCTCGGTGTTGCTCCCGCACCTCGCTCAGCCAGTGAGCAGCCGGTCTGTATGTGGGATCCAAACCCTCAGTGGAAGCGCTGCCACGCTTCCCAGGCGGCGCACTGTAGCAGTGTGCCACCGGGCCGGCCCTCCTCGAGCTCTTTTAGAAGCAACAGTCTCATATCTCTCTTTAAAATAAAAAAATATTTTTTAACTTTTCTGGGCTTTGGAATCTAAACTTTTGCCTAGAGGCTTGAATATATCATTTTGTAAAAATCACTTTTCCTCCAACCAGTTTGGATTAGTTATTTCTCGCCATTTTATATATATATATATATATATATATATATATATCCTTATTGCCTGTGACCTTTACTAAAGGCAGTCTCTGCAACTCCAGTAATTTAAAATAAAATTTGAATTATAGGACATTGAGGTGAAAAACAAGGAGGTGTACTCCTGGTAGGTTCTCACTTGGAGAAAACAAGCTTAACTTGTTTTCGTTGGTTGGTACAGAAGGGTGGGGATGTGGAGGGGTTTTGCTGGCTTTCAGGGTTTTATAGATTAACTCCTTTTTTTTTTCTTTGCTAGTTTTCATACCTTGGCCCTGACCCTGTCCATAAGCTCCTCACACTAGTGGTGGATGATGGCATTCAACCTCCTGTGGAGCTCAGCTGTAAGGAAAGGAACATTCTAGCAGCCACTTTCATCCGCTCCCTCCATAAGAATATAGGTGAGGTTTGACAGGGATTCTGATAGGGAAGGCAGCAATCCCAGCTATTCTGGGTACATGAGGGTGTGAAGGTGGGACTTCACAGATGACTTGTAATAAGGCTGTAATCATGATGGATCTTGCTGCTCCTCAGGAGGCTCTGAGACCTTTCAGGACAAGGTGAACTTTTTCCAGCGAGAGCTTCGGCAGGTACACATGAAAAGACCACATTCCAAAGTCACCCTGAAGGTCAGCAGACATGCCTTGTTGGAATCGGTGCGTAAAGTTTCATCTCTGTCAGCAGATGCCAAAGTTTTTAACTAAGAACCTCTTAAGTATTTGGTTATATCATGCAGGTTATCTTTCTTATGAAATTTCAGTTTATCTCTTTAGATATATCTATAAAAGACTGATATTTGTTTGATTATACTAAGTTTGGTGCAAATTTGTTGGAGGTATGTCATTGAGAGGAGAGACTAGTTGACACATTGGCTTTGAAATCCGTACTGAACTAGTTCCTGAACAGTCTCATAGAACTCTTATGTAGGGCAGGTGTAAGTAGTGATTACAGAAGGAAGTTTTTATTATTGAATCTCTGGAATAGAAGAGCTCTTGTTGGATTAAAAGGAAATGATTTTTGTTGTCACTTGGTCTGATGAAAAAGGAACACCTTGTGTGTGTCTGTCTCCACCACACAGACACTGGCATAATTCTTACATTCCCCAAGAATGAGAAGGCTTGGTCTCTGTCCAGAAAGTGTTTGTGATGTTTGGCTTTGGTAGGTGTGACTAGAAACCCCTTTTCTCAGCTACATTCTCCGTGTGGCATGGCTGCCTGTCTGAATCTGGTTTTGTGGATAAAGATGTCTAGTGGATAGACTGTACTTCACTGAAAACCAGGACTCCTTGGTTCTCTTGCTTACAGCTTACTGACTTGAGCACTTCCTTATGCAAGATTTTTCTCATTAATAAAATGAGGATTGCTTAAAAAAAAAGAAAGAACCATCAGCTTCAACTTTCCAACAAAGTGATGATACTGAACTCAGGGCGAGCTACCTGCCCCCTTAAGGAAAGAAAAAAAGACTCAGAAGTCAAAGGGTTAGTGTTAGAAAAGCAGATCTAAAGGAGATGGTAGGCTATCCCATCTCTCTGCTAAAGCTAAAGGAGAATGGCCAGGCTAAAGCCATCCCCAAGACTCAGGTTTAGTGAGGGGTTTTTAAAAGGGGCCGAGGGAACGGAATGCGGGAAACAAAAAGCAGGACGGAGGGGGCGTGAGCCCGTGCAAGGGGCCAGGTGCAAGGTCTTGCCCAGACTCCATCTGGTTTCTGTTCCCGTCCTTGCTGTATCTCAGGGTGGGATTCAGGGTTGTGCGAGTCTGCAGCTTCAGGCTGGCTGGAAAACAACTTTACATTTATGCAAATAATGTCATCTTGCGCCATAACCAAGGTCCAAAATATCAAATAACCATGGGAAAAGAGGGAACTCAGAGAAATGCATTATGCAAGATTTTTCTCATTAATAAAATGAGGATTGCTTAAAAAAAAAGAAAGAACCATCAGCTTCAACTTTCCAACAAAGTGATGATACTGAACTCAGGGCGAGCTACCTGCCCCCTTAAGGAAAGAAAAAAAGACTCAGAAGTCAAAGGGTTAGTGTTAGAAAAGCAGATCTAAAGGAGATGGTAGGCTATCCCATCTCTCTGCTAAAAAAGGAGAATGGCCAGGCTAAAGCCATCCCCAAGACTCAGGTTTAGTGAGGGGTTTTTAAAGAGAAGGCCAAGAGAATGGAATGTGGGAAATGAAAAGCAGGAGGGAAGGGCATGTGAGCAGCAAGGGCTTCATGCGAGGTCTTGCCAAGACTCTGTCTGGTTTCTGCTCCCATCTTCGCTGTTATCTCAGGGTCTGGGTAGTACGTGCGAGTCTGCAGCTTCAGGCTGGCTGGAAAACAACTTTACATTTATGCAAATAATGTCATCTTGCCCCATAACCAAGGTCCAAAATATCAAATAACCATGGGAAAAGAGGGAACTCAGAGAAATGCATGCCAAGAAAAAAACTGTCTTTTTAAAATCTTTTAGAGCCCATGTGGTTTAGGTCCCAACATGGCTTCAGTCCTGCTTCCTCCAATAGTGATGGTACAAAGACAAATTAGATTACTTTTTAAAACCTTAAATTCCTTCTGGTGATAAGTGCATTTTAAGTATAAGATGGTATTATTAAAGTTTATTTGTGAATAATATATCTCCTCTTAAGTAGTAGTTGAATGGATAGTGACAATGCTCTTGTGTGTTTCGTCTTTAACATCTAAGAGATGCCAGCCAGTGTTCTGACAGTTTCCTTCCTTTCACTGCTTTTCAGTCTCTGAAAGCCACTCGGAATTTCTCCATCTCAGATTGGAGTAAGAACTTTGAAGTGGTTTTCCAGGATGAAGAAGGTCAGTTTTAAAATTTCATATTCATCTTTCTTAACTCTCCTCCCTACTCCCACCCTCTTAATTCCTTTCTCCACAAACCCCCCGCCCCCCCTCCACCCAACTTCCAAGAAAAACCCACCTTCTTTCCAAGGGAAAAAGAAATCCTGAGTCAAGAAAAAAAAAAGGTTGTATTTTTTAAAAGGGCCAGATGGCATGGTGGAGCTTAGAGAGCACAGACATATAGGGACTTGGAGGGAGAGCTCTAAGAATTTCAACCAGAAAGACAAAGTAATCTTGGTAGAACCAAGAAAAATGTGCATTTCCTGAGACCTCTAATCTCTTGTGTTTCCACACTAGGGACATTAGTTTAGTGATCAGATTACCTTTAATCCTACAGAAAGGGTGGGATTTCAAAAAAAGTCTACAGTTTAGGTGAGTTGCAATAGGGAAACTCTAGAGTAGTGAAATGGAGGGAATGTGAAGAGTGTAAAATTATGGCTAAATGAATAAAAGTGATACAAGGAGGTAGGTCAGAGTCACTTTTTATTTTCATTATACTTTTCAGCTCTGGACTGGGGAGGGCCTCGCCGGGAATGGTTTGAGCTAATCTGCAAAGCACTATTTGATACCACCAACCAGCTCTTCACCCGATTCAGTGACAACAACCAAGCATTAGTGAGTCTGATTTTCCCCTGGGTGGGTGGAAAATGTGGATTATTTATATTTATAGACTAATAAGAGTTTGAAATTATGAAACTGACCTGGAAGTCTGACAACCTTTGTCCTGTTTTTAATTTTGCTAGTTAGAATATGAGCTAATCAGGTTGCCTCCCTCCTCTTTGCCTTCATTATTTCATCTGTAAAGTAAAAGAAAATGCAAACAGATGAATAGATGACTAAAAAGCAAAGTGCAATGGCTTCTCCACTAATTATTATAATAATTAAGGCATTTCTCAAACATATCTGAAGCACTTGATTTCTGTACTAGATCTTTGATTAGATAGCAGTGACAGAAGTAGAGAAGTAGACTTTGGCTGAAAGAAGTTATGGTTTAGGGAAAAGGCATCATACTAATTATTATAATAATTAAGGCATTTCTCAAACATATCTGAAGCACTTGATTTCTGTACTAGATCTTTGATTAGATAGTGGTGACAGAAGTAGAGAAGTAGACTTTGGCTGAAAGAAGTTATGGTTTAGGGAAAAGGCATCACATCATCCACTGATTAACTTACATACTCAGCCACAAACTTAAAACAAAATTCTTAACGTAATATAAAAGTCCTTCTTTGCTCTTTAGCCTCTAGTCACTGAATTACTCAGTGGTGGATACCAAAAGACAAATGTCATTTGGATGGGTTCTTCGATTTTCACACTGAAATTTTTGCTCCCTGGGGGTTACAAGGAAGGTGGATCTTTCCACAACTACGCTTGAAGAAAAAGGCCCAGGGCCTTTCAATCTTTTTCTTTGACAGGTGCACCCCAACCCTAATCGCCCTGCTCATCTGCGCCTGAAAATGTATGAGTTTGCGGGTCGGCTGGTGGGCAAGTGTCTCTATGAATCCTCTCTAGGAGGAGCCTACAAGCAGTTGGTCCGAGCTCGCTTCACCCGTTCTTTCCTGGCCCAAATTATAGGACTACGTATGCATTACAAGGTAACATCTTAGGTGTGCATTTGTACTAAGGCCTCTGGCCATTAACTCTGGAATTTCTCCACCTGAGCTTATTAGTCTTAAGGTTGAAGGGATAGGTGGTTTCAAGCAGCTACAAATTTTATTTCTGGGCAAGAGTATTCATGTTTTGTTCTGTGTCTCTCTATCTCTTCAGTACTTTGAAACAGATGACCCAGAATTCTACAAATCTAAAGTTTGTTTTATCCTCAACAATGACATGAGTGAGATGGAGCTGGTATTTGCAGAAGAGAAATATAACAAATCAGGTCAATTGGATAAGGTGAGAAAGAAGACCAAAGCCTGTGCTCTCTCATGTTCCCCAGCTTCCTCTGGAGCAGCACTGTCCAGTAGGACTTTCTGCAGTAATGGAAATGTTCTATGTTTCTTTTGCCTATTAAGCCCCCAAAAGTGGCTAATGTATCGCTTCTCGGCCTTTTGGCTAAGATCAAGTGCAAAATATGGCTAATGTGACCAAATAACTGAATTTCTCATTTTATTTTAATTAATTTAAATTTAAATAACCACCTGTGGCTAGCAAGTGCCATATTGGATAGCACAGCTTTAGGACACTGCATCCCACACTTTATGATCTCAGCCTATTTGAGTGGTGCAAAAGACACATGTACCCATATATCTCAACCATTCCTACCTTCCAGTTGGAAAAAAAAAAGCGATAATGAGTTGAGTCACTGGACAATCAGATTTGGAAAAGATGGCAGTGTCTATATCAGCATTACAGTGGTGATGTAGGTGATTCCTATTTTAATACAATGGCTATATATTTTTAAATTTTTTATTAGAAAATTATTTACTAGAGGTATTTCTGATGCAAATGTGCTTCAGGTTACATTGTGGAGTTAATATCAAATGATAATGATGAAGTTAAAGTTGCAGTAATATATAATTAAAAGCAAAATAGCAATGACTGAAAAACTGACCACTGGTACCACTCAATTGAAAATCAGATATCCTTTCTGAAAATTATGAGAATCCCAGCTATCTGCCTTTGTGCACATGGAGCCAGAGCCTGTCTTCCTGATCAGGCATAGCAAGGGAGCTAGAGTTCATTTTGAATTAGGGTCATCAGGCTTGAGGTAGTGCTCATTTTAATTGTGTTTAATATGAATACTAAATCTTAATTTATTTCTTAGGCTACTAGATAGAAATGCTTATTCACATAAAGTAAATATTTAGAATTGTATGTAATAACAGAAAAAAAGTTCTACAGTTTTAGATCCATCGAGAATCCCTGCTGCGGAATAACAAGCTGTTTCTGCCATGCTGTTGTCAAGACCTTAAAATCTAACCTTGTAACTAAGTGGAGGCCTTTGTTCACCTATGGAGACAACCTTGATCACTGTAGACAAATTTTCCCCAGTAGTAGTTTAACCTGTGCTTCAGGGCTTCCTCAAAGCTCCCTTAGGAGTTTTTTTTATTGGGGGATATGAATTCTATTTGAGAATCATACAATTTGTTCAGCTCTTTCTTTGCAGATAGAAAAATCATGTGCCCAGATAACTAAGTGATTGAAGTTCTGCAGCAAGTTAGCATCAGGCCTGGGATTAGAATCTAGGTTCTCCAAGTTTCAAGCTGTGGCTGTTTCCATTGACTTACATAAGAGAGAGAAGAATGTGTGGAACAGCTCTTCCCATCTTAGAATTTCTGAGACATAAAAAGACTTCTGTCACTACTTATCTGGCTTTATTTACTCTCAGTTGGCTCAGAGAAGAGGCAGTAGTGATTTAATTTTGGATCATAGATTAAAATGTTGCTAACATGTAACCATAATATCTTCCTGTTGTATCACCACTACTTGACCAGGTCAGAGAAGACCTTACCCAGACACCCACATCAGAAATAGTAGCTTGCAGAAAACAGCAGTAGTGGTAGGAATGCTGAAGCTTAGTAACAAAATAAAACCAAGTGTCTTGAAAAGCTGAATGCACGGCAGAAACTTGTGACCAATACTGATAGAGTTCAATAATGCTATGTTTGTAGAACAGACCAGGCATATGTCATCTTATAAACTTCCATCCACAACCTCTCTTTGTCTTTTTGCCTCCTATTTCAGGTTGTAGAACTTATGACAGGTGGAGCTCAAACCCCAGTCACCAATGCAAATAAAATCTTCTATTTAAATTTGCTGGCCCAATATCGACTGGCCAGTCAAGTAAAAGAGGAGGTGGAACATTTCTTAAAAGGTGGGATCCTGTCTACTTTGGCCTTGTGGTTAAAATTTCTATATCCACAATGTGGGTATGGCTTTAACTTTGGCTACTTTGTTTCAGGCCTGAATGAGTTGGTTCCTGAGAACCTTTTGGCTATTTTTGATGAGAATGAGCTTGAGGTAAGTGCTTACAATTCAAACCCCTGTTCATAACTTCATGCATGTCTGTGTCTACCAGAACCAGCCTGTTGCACCTTCTGTTGTGAGATCCTGCAGGAAAGCCATTTATGCAAGGGCTCATTCCACTTTTGTCACTCTTCCATTTTTTGACTGTTTTTCAGCTTTTTAAAAATTAGAATGTGAAAATTAGAAAGCACCAAATAGCTTATTTATGAAGAGTAATAATATTCATTTATTTATCAAATATTATTGATACTGATTGAGTATTAAAGAATGTTGGTATCATGTACAGTTTTCATAAAATCCTATGATGTTTAAGAGAATAATAGAATTTATTTATTCAGGTATATGAGGGTACTTCAAAAATTCCATGGAAAAATTGAATTAAAAGATAAAGGGCTGGAAATGTTGGTATCATGTACAGTTTTCATAAAATCCTATGATGTTTAAGAGAATAATAGAATTTATTTATACAGGTATATGAGGGTACTTCAAAAATTCCATGGAAAAATTGAATTAAAAGATAAAGGGCTGGCCGGTTAGTTCAGTTGGTTAGAGCACAGTGTTATAACACCAAAGTCAAGGGGTTGGATCTTGGTACCAGCCAGCCATCAAAAAAAATTTTTTTAATTTAAAAAAAGCTAATACGAATCTTTCCATGAAATTTTTTAAGGCCCCTTGTATGTTGAGTGCCTCCTGTATGTCATGTGTTTGAGGCATTGGGGAGGTAGCAATGAATAAGACAAAGTCCCAGCCCTCAAGGAGCTACCTTCTAGTGGAGGAGACACACCAAAAGATGTGATTGTAATTGAGAGTTTTAGACCACAACACTATATATTTTTTTTTTATAGTAAATATATTCTTATTTCAAATCCTGTAGCAACCCAAAAAATGTCTATAAGATGGTAAATACCATTCTATAATTAGCAGAATTTAAGTCCTTATGAGGTGTGGGCAAAAGAGTAAAATCAATTTGTCCTTACCTGCTGCTCACAGACGACACATACAGTTCAAGTTATTAGTTTTAACTTTCCATAGCTTTTATGAGAAGTATGTGTTTGCAAACTGTTTCCTGTAGGGAGGAAGCTCTTTAAAAAGTGGGGGAGGAGAGTAGTTTTAGGTGGTCTTACACAATTCTTATTCTTATTAACTGAGCTGGCTTGGAGAACAAGAATTAGTCTTCTGCAGTTTTCATCACGTTTTGTACCTTCAGATATGAAATCCAAACACAATGAACTCTCCTTGTTTCAGCCTAAAGTTTCTGATAGACCCATCACAGAGTTCTGTTATTTTGGGGGCTGAGAAATAGTATATTTTGTCTTATCATGAAGTCACGCATTTGTAACAATTTGTAAAGTGAGTAGAAAAGAAAGAGTCTCTTACAGTTGTTCCACATCCTGCTCTTAGTTACTCATCACTTAGCATGTTCTTTTTGAAGAAGCCAAGGCTCCTTAAGCTTAATTTGGGCTCTTCTTGTCTCTTGATTAGGATGTATTATTCTTTATAGCTATTGGATGAGCACTCACAGCCTGCTAAGTAACATGCTGGATCCTGAACCAAATTAGGACATCAAGATGTTTAGGGCTCTGGTGTCCTTACTGTTCTCATTTTTTGGCATACTTTTAAATTTATCTGATCAAATAGAGGCAGGGCTGAAGGGAAGGTAGTAAAAGTTCAATCCACAAAAGAAGGATGAATCCTGGGGAAAAGGAAAGGCCATCTGACAAATTCACAACTGGGATTGGGGGTCTTCAAAGGGAAAGAGTTTGCCTTTTGTCCCTGGTACTCCAGGCTAAGTTCATAGCAGACTATCAGTAAATAGTTGGTTTCCTTTTTGTCCTTTGTTTCTTTTTTTTTTTTTTTTTCCTTTTTGTCTTTTTTTGTGACCGACAACGGATCACAACCCTCAGTGTCGCACCCGTACCGGACCAGCAACAGGATTGCACCATCGGTGTTGCGCT